GCGGGAGTCGCCTCATTCGACTTGAGCGACGAACCGACCTGGGTTCAAAGGCTGGCCCGCGAAGGGCTCATGGCCACCTCGCATCAAACAGAGCTAGGGGAGAAAACGTAGATGAGCCCTAGTGGCCCTCGCCCGATCTGCTCAGAAGCAGACAGGGTCATCTCGACCTTCTCGTTCGATCCTAACCTTGAGCCATGCCCATAAAATCTCCATCGAGGGGAGGCCAGCGGGCCACCTGAGTCGGTCTTCGGAATGACTCAGACATCTACCGGGAGGTGGGTTAAGGAGCAGTGAAATGCCACATGAGGGCTATGCCGACCCTGTTACGAACGACGGACTCGGATTCCAGTCGGACATACCCATTAGAGAGCTCACCGAGCACGTCACTCGAGCCATCGAGGCACGCGACGTTAGCTCAGCCCCTCCGGTTGTAGAAACCGCGGATGGGGTAACACACGAAACTAGACCAACCCGTCGGCCACGCCCGGCGCTTGGGTCCATGCTCCATCACGCTCGACCCCCCGGTCGCGCCCGATGTTTGGGTTGGCGACCCGACGCCTGGGTTCGCGCTCCCAGAAACGATGGCTCAGAACCTAGGAAGGGGAGACGTGCGAAAACAAGAGACGTTTTTCCTACTAATTCCACTATCCTCTCCTCGATCTTTAGTGACACCTGACCCTAGCAATGGCAAGGGGTCAAATCTCACTCGAGGGCTACACCCACCAGGCGCTTTCATGCATGCATGCTGGCTGTAAGTCAAAAAAAAATCCCTAGGCGATTCTACCCGAATCGCCTGGGGGCTCAGGGGCTACACCCACCGGGTGCGCTCACGCGCACCCGCTGGCAAGTCAAAAAACCCCAGGCGATTTCTAGGACCACCAAGGCTACACCTCTTGCCTAGCTCCGCTTCGCCTGACCCCCGAGGGCAGACTCCGCCTCGCTCGACGTCTGAGGCTAGCTCCGCCTCGCCCGATGTCGGAGGGCTAGCTCCGCCTCGGCTGACCCCCGAGGGTAGGCTCTGCCTTGGCTGACGTCTGAGGGCTGGCTCCGCCTCACTCGACGTCTAAGGGCTAGCTCCGCTTCACCCGATCCCTCGGACATGGGTCCTAATAGAAGCTCACGCCGCCGCCAACCACTATGGGCTAGAAAGTACAACCCTAGGTCAAACTTCTGGCATCTTGCAGGGAGCGGTCACGTCTCAGCACGACCCATCTCCATGACATGTCGTTCCAGGGGACTCACATCAACCCACAGTGATGGACGCATGGTCACTATGTTGCCTACTCCTGTCGCCCGTGATCAACATCTTTGGTTCATCGGTCCCGACGCTTTTCCAGCCTCCGCCTCGATCATGCCCGACGCCTGGCCCTCCATCGTGCTGACCCTCGGCCTGCTTCGATGCCTAGGTCCGCCGCCATCTCGCTTACACCCACCGCTCCCTCGGCCGCCCTTCATGCTTCGGGACCCAAAAGGCTTGGGGGCTCTGCTAAACCTCCCTCTTTTCCAACAAAATACGCCAACCTCTTACAACAACGCGTTCATGACTCTTCTCTCGACCGAAACGATCGAGTCGACCGAAAGGCAACCGAATCGGGGCGCCTGCTTGGTGAGGACCTAAGAATCAGGCAGAGCAGATAAGGCAAGACGCTCAAGTCAACCGCAATACCGAGGATCGTACCCTGCACACCTGCAGGACAATACCACCAGGCCATGCCAGAAGGGTGCTTTGCAACCTTCCAGGCATGTCAGAACCCAAACAGTGTTGTGGGCGCCGACATTTGCCTTACAATGTTGTGGGCGCCGTCATTTGCCATACCAGGCAAACACGGTAAACCCTGCCACATGCGTCTAACATAAACAGTATTGTGGGCGCCGACGATCGTGTTGTACCCAACAGCGTGGGCAACAAGACTTAGTAGCATACGTGCACACACACACACACTCTCTCTCTCACTTGTAAGGCCATCCCTTTACCTATAAAAGGGGATGCGCTCTCTCCCAACGGACGATGGTCATTTTGACTCTCTCTGCTAAGCTTTAGACATTCTGAGCACTCAAACAACTCCATAGCTCTAGAACTCTAAAGCTACACAGAGCGTATGTTCCAATCCTTAGCGCACGTTGGAGCTCCCGTCACTCTTGGCCCTTCGGTTCAGAGCCCGACCGAACCTTTAACACCCCCTTCTTATTCCCACTCGTTTGTAACCCCACAACAAACTTCGAGCACCTAGGCTCAGAAATAAAGTCACTGACCGACTAGAACTAGACGTAGGGCACGTTGCCTGAACCAGTATAAACCCTGTGTCATTGAGTGCTAGGCCACATCCGATCACAACGCATGGCAAAACTACAAATATTTACTTGTTGGTCACTTTTTGCACCGACAAGAGCCATCTTGAGGAGTGATGCGCATGTACATCTCATGTGCATTGATCTTCCCCAATATTTGAGTTGGCGTAGCGGTGGAAAGATCACCTTGATGAAGCACCGTCACAATATGCCCAAACTTGTCAATGGGGATGACACTCAAGATCTTTCTCACAACATCGGATGGTTGCATTTGAGTGAGTCTAGGCCTATTGACCTCCTCTACAAGAACATTCAAGTGTGAATACATTTCATTAGCACTTTCACTAGGAATAATTTCAAATGAATTAAGCTTCTTCATCATGAGGTGATAGCGTTCCTCACGCTCACTCTTGGTTCCCTCATGGAGCGCACAAATGTCCGACCATAGTTGATGGGAGTCTTTGTGGTTCCGCACACGGTTAAAGATATCCTTGCAAATGCCTCTAAAAAGAGTGTTTCTAGCCTTTGCATCCCACTTCTCGTAGTGAATCTCATCACCTTGAAGGTTAGCGGGATCCTTAGGTGTTGGGAAACCTTGTGAGGTGGCTCTAAGCACTCCAACATCTAAAGCCTCTAGGTACGCCTCCATGCAAATTTTTTTAATATGGAAAGTCATCTCCCTCAAAGATGAAAGGGGATCCATCCCCATGGGACATCTTGCTCTAGGCGGTTAAGTCTAATTCAAGGAGCATGAGGCTTTGATACCAATTGAAAGAATCAAGATGCCTAAGAGGGGGTGAATTGGGTTAATTCTAATTTTCTTTCAATAATTAAGCCCTACACTTAGCCCATTTCACCCCCTTTTGCCTAGAAATGTTTCTATTGTTCTACCGCGCAAAGGGTTTTGCACCCTAGCTTCCAATTCTATTCTAGCATGGCAATTCTAAGAATGTAAAGACATAAATTGAATTGCTCAAATGTAAATGCTCAAAGTAAAGAGAGGGAAGAAACACGTCGATGTTTTTTCAAGGTATCATAGAGTCGCCACTCTCCACTAGTCCTCGTTAGAGCACCTGTGCAAGGGTGTAGCTCCTCCTTGATCCGCGCAAGGATCAAGTGCTCTCTAAGGGCTGATTTTTTGACACTCCATCGCGGTGAATTATTCACAACCGCTCACACCATGATTTGGGTCATCCACAAGCTTCGCCGGATGATCACCAAGTTTCCAATCACCACCAAGCCGTCTAGGTGATGGCGATCACCAAGAGTAACAAGTAAAAACTCTCACTTGACCAAGACAAGCCTAATGAGAAAGGTGGATACACACTTGCTACTTCCTATGCACTAATGAGGTCCTTAATCTTTGATTAACAAATCTCAATCACCCCACTAGGCTCTTGCTCTCCCTTGCACTCTAAAGGCGTTTCATAGCTGAACAAATAGGCAAGAGACCTAAGCTGGACGAGTGGAGGATGTATTTATACTCCCCACTTCAAAACATACCTATTGGGGTCCAACTCAGCACATTTCGAGGTGACCGGACGCTCAGGTCAAAGTGACCGGACGTCCGGTCAGTAGCCAATGGCTACATGACGCTAGCACAATCATCAGAGATCGGACTCTGACCAGCGTCCGATCACCACTCATCTGACGCGTTTGGTCAGCAATTTCCTTCTCTGGATGCTTACTGTTGTTGATCGGACGCGGCCTCTAGTGTGTCAGGTCACAGCGTCCGGTCCTTCGTGAGTGTTGCTTGCTCTATAGTTGCGCACACCTGCGCGTCCGATCCTGACTAGGAGCCAACGTCTGGTCGATGAGCAAGCCCTAGCTGCGCGAGCTAACGTTGACCGAGACGCGGCACCTGTGCGTCTGGTCCAGCGTCCGGTCATCATCCAAGTCTCCATTCACCTCAAATTCTACCAACTTTGTGAACGGCATCGACTTCAACTGATCTATGGGCTGTCCTTGAGCTACCTAGTGCTAAGTTTGACAAGTGTGCACCACACCTAAACTATTAGACTCACCTGTGTCAAGTTACTAGTTCATACCCCCTTAATAGTACGGCCAAAAGAAAAATAAAGTCATAAACAACTCTAAGTGTCTCTCCAACGTCAAACGACACTTAGAACTAGTCCGCCATTAACCTTGTCGTCCATCCTTTGAAAACTGAAACGATTTCCATCGACAGAGGCATGAAAACCATAATTGCCCAATCAATCACCATTACCATGACCTAACTCAAGTTGCCTCTACAAAACACATATTAGTCACAGTAATCTTGTGTCGTCATTGATCACCGAAACCAAACTAGGGGTCTAGATGCTTTCAGAGATCACTACTACACATATTTTTGTGAGGCGATGCCCAAACATTAACCGATGCAGTCATAAAATCCAACCGCTTTAAAAAATGCCGGGCGATTAAGAGAGGTTGTCGTTTTCATTTATAGAGATGGTCACATCTGTTCGCCTCATAAAATCGATTTACGGAGACGGACAAAAAAAAAGCACCTTCTAAATAGATTTACGGAGGTGGTCATTTTAAGACAACCGCCTTAGCCATGACACAGAGAGATTTTATTGTTATATAGTTAATTAAATTGAGCGTTGCAGAGAATTGCTCACGTGAGTGGAAAAATGAGAATATGGGAGGTGGTTTTCTTTGTGCATATGAAAGTAGTTTGATATATCAACTATTAATTTATGCTTAACCTGTAGTATATTGCAGTCAACCCTTGATGAGTCTCGTGCCTCGATATTGAGATCAATCGATGTGTTGGCAAGGTCCCAGTATCGACCAAATACTTTTTGAATGCTGCAAGAAAGAGTGCAACAAAAGCAGGAAGTTTCATTAACTCAAAGGAAAAGTGGGTATACAATACACATACAGTAGTAGGAACAAATATGTTGCCAATTAACTAGATGCTGACTGAATTAAAGCACGCTTCGAAACACACAGTACACAATAGTGCACAAACTAGCTTGACACGAAGGATAATTTAAAGCGAGAGCGCAGCAGAAACACCAGCTCAGCCATGCCCCGAGGATCAGTGTAGCTCACCTGGAGCTTGGGGAGGCGAACTCGTAGAGGCGGCCGGCGGGGGAGAAGACGACGAGCGCGACCTCGGCGTCGCACAGCACGGAGAGCTCGTGGGCCTTCTTGAACAGCCCGCTCCGGCGCTTGGAGAAGCGCACCTGCCGGCTCGTCCGGTCCTCGATCCGCCGCAGCTCCACCCGCCCGCGCTTCCTCTTCTTCTCCTGAGGCGGCGCCGCCCTTCTCGCCGCCTCCCCCTCCATTGTTCTAGCTTGTTCCCACCACCCGAAACAGCAGCACCACCAACCAAGAGCCTCGCGATGAGCTCGATTGCGCAGTCGCTTCCGCTGCTGTGTGGCAGCGGAGGGAAAGCGGGTCGTAACCATAAGAGGATCTGAAGAAATTCTCGGTGAGGAGAGAGGGAGACAGAGACAGAGACACAGAGCGATGGAAGTTTGTGGTCTGGATGCCCTGATGGCAGCAGCTAGCATAGCCTATAGCAAGACTAGTGTGCAGGAGAGGGTGGGTACCATTGGTCCATGGTGGCTGCTCGAACCAACGGGTAAAGACTACAGTATCTCCCGGGCCGGCTGTCAGTGACCACTTCCCCGACAAGATGACGATCGCTTACGTCAGGACGCGTTTCGCTACACCATTGGTCCATGGTGGCCGGCTACTGTAACACAGTACGTAGACGGGTGGAGACTACAGTTAAGAGAAACAGCTTATTATTCTCATTCTTTACACGCACATACACACAAAAAAACCCAGCTTATTCGTTCTCATAGACAAGCCATGCTTTGACCGGAAATCCATCAGAAATTTTCGTTTCGTTCTGTAAACAGGTGACACGCGGTCGGCCATGAAACATTGTTTTTTTTCATAACAAATCTGTGAACAGTACTTTTCAACCGACTTTTCAGCGAAGGTAACATGGTCATTACCCTGCTGGCTACTGCCTATATAATTAATGGAGTACAGTACTATCTCCCATCACGAGTACTTCGTGCCTCGACCAAAAATCCATATCGGATTTCTAAAAACTTTGTCCACCAATAAGACTAAAAAAAAGTATTCGATCAAGTAATTCAGTATGGAAACATAACAAAACATATATATATATATATATTTGTCTTAGAAATAATTAATTTTCACAATCTTAGACTTAGTAGTAGATGATATATCTATATTTTATTGGGGCAAACTAAAAGATAATAATCAAATGTAAAACTCAATCATAGACCAAAAAATTCAACCGCATAATTTTTTTTTGATGGGAAGAGTATGTTATAGCTAGGGATTCATGCATGATGCAACAAAGAGTAAAACAGAACGTTCAAGCGGTTGCGAAAATACTACGTGACTAGCTCGATTTCACTACTACACAACTACCATGAGTGTCAACAGTGGCGGAACCTGACTCACAATCAAGGGGGGGCTAAGTTGTCCATAGATAATATCAATATATACTAGGTTTATTACCAAATTAATCATGGTTTGGTGGTCAGCTAATACTATTTGCTGGAGATAGATGGGCCATGAGACAATTACATATTTACATGCACAGTTTGCAAGGAAGCGAGCTTAGGATATCTAGCTGTTGAAATAAACTGTGTAGCTAGACATGCAAATAATCAATATATATACATAAATATTCATTAAACTTTGTTAGCCAAGAGGGGGCCGGAGCCCAGTGTGGCCTCCACTAGGCTCCGCCAGTGGGTGTCAAATAGAAAAACTGAAAGAAAATGGTCCTCACTTAGGTTTGGGCTTTTGAATTTCTAGCAAATTAACCGGTTAAAAAATGGTCAAACTAATTTTATTAAGGAGTCATGCGGTTATTTAGAAAATTAAGCTACAGTTTAATGTAGGTTTTATTATGGAATGGTTTGGGCTTGGCCTTACAGGGCAGGTGAGGAATGGACCTTTGGTTGGTTAGACTATCATAGGGCCTTAAGTTTAGGGCATGGGCAAAGTTCGTGGTTAAGTCTAGCGATAAAGGTGGGCCATGTGTCGGTGAACATTTGTCATTGCAAATGGCATAACAGTTTATAAAAGGATTAAGTCCACTTTTAGCCCCTCAACTATTGGGTTCGTCTAATTTTGACTCTCAACTACAAAACCGTCTAATGCTGGTACCCCAACTGTCAAAACCGTTCACTTTTAGCACCTGGGCGCGGGCAAGGCTGTTTTGTCCAACGTGGAGTGGTTTTGACCATGCCACGCTTGCGTTGACCGTCACGTAGGACCCAACCTCCATCTCAGTGATATGTGGGGCCCACGCGTCATCCACTCAACCCCTCCCTCTCCATCCTCACGACCACTCCCCCGCCGCCTCCTCTCTCCGGCGCGGTGGCGCTGCTCCCTCCGACTCGGCGGCGCTAGCCTCCACCCTATAGCTGGCACAGGCGCTGACCCTCGCGCGGCAGGCGGTCCCGGCGCGAGCGTCTCCTCAAGGCGGGCCAGCCTCCTAGCGCGGGTGCTCCCGGCAAGAGTGCGGGCTGGCTTCTTCCCCACCTCAACGCCGGTCGGATCCGCAACGCCCTACTCCCTGGCCTGTCGGATCCGCAGGCCCTGCTCCCTAGTGATTCCCCGGTTGGAGGCGGCGGGGGAGTGGCTGGCAGGACCAGCCAGTAGCGGAAGAGGCCGACTGACGAGCAGTGCCAGGCCCACGTAGTCCCAGCCGCGGCTCGGCGGGAGGTGGGCCGTGGCCTGCTGGCTACGTGCACCGGTAGCCCAGCAGCCATGGCCACGGTGGTGAGATGCCACAGCGGCGGGGAGGAGCCGTGGCGGCGGCGACGCCATGGCTGCGGTGCCGCAGCGGCGCAGCGAGCCGGTGATGAAGCGCGCCATGTTCGGGAGGGCTTGGCTTAACCGGCGGTGGCGGTCGTTCAGCTCGGTGAAGGGTAAAGACGCAGGAACGCGATGGTGCCCGTGGCGGCCTGCGAGCAACGAGCAACCATGGCGATGGCCATAGCGAGCTTGGCCAGGGCGCGCGAGGCGGTGGGCGTGGCAAGATTAGCTGGGGTGCAGGGGGAAGCGCGATGTAGCCTGCTCGCGCTGTAGCCTGTTCGGGCGCCGCCGCCGCGGTTGCCTCCTTCACGCACGTAGGATGGGAGGAAAGAGAGGGACCAGTGTGGCATGGTCAACGCCAACACGGCGTGGTCAAAATCGCTGCACATTGGACAAAACAGTAAGTCATAGCTAGAACTATTATTTTTAAGAGATGAAGTCGGATTCTTTCCTTTATCTAAAAAGAAATTCCGAGGCGGTTTTTAAAGCCGTCTCCGAAAAAAATGCTAAAAGATGATGACGCCTCTTAAAATCGTTCTTGGTACAGTGAAAAACGTACCACAAAACTACAGTACACAACTCACGTCACATAGCAGTATAGCACCATGCAAATCGACTCGCCCACTCACATGCAAACAACAAAAGAGATTTGTGTTTTCCCCCGGCCCACGAAGATTGTATTTTACATGTACATATAACATATCTGGGATTTCGTAAGGAGTCATCTTTTCCTCGTACGTTTATGCAAACACACATACACGCTGAGAATTGAGACGTGTGTAGGTGTTGCAACAGTGCAAGTATCGACACACACACATATACACGGTCACGCACCATGTTCAAGGGAAATTAATTACTAGTTTCACTACTGGGAATATCTACGATGAACAACTTTTGTCGTTGATGCAGCTAAATTTGTTATAATTTTTGTTTTACGATGAATTTATGATAAAAATGGTTTATCGTAGAAGTCGCGTCATTCTTGAACTTCTACGACGAATCTAAAAAACCATCAAAGAAGTGGATAGATCTATGACGAAAACTGATCGTCATAGAACTATTTGGGCATGGGTGGCAGAGGGCAGCCATGCTGGTGGTTGCTTCCGTTGGAGATGATTTCCACGTGTACCTGCTATAGCCGGTTGCATCGGAGATGGTTCGGGTACGTGCCACCTTATTATTGGACAACGTGGCCATCTCTAGTTCTTGCATGTTTCAAATTCTTAATGTACCACATGTCGGCTCTGTTGTTTCAAATGTTAGTTTTCTATTGGCACACATATCGTGTTGCGATTGGATCACGTGTAATTTTTTTATTGGATCATGTGTTATATTTTTATTGCTCCATGTGGCCGTTTCTTACTCGACCACGTGTCACGGTGCTATCTGTCCACGTTTTGTTTTTTTGATTCGACCACATGGCTTGACGACTTTCTTCCACGTGTCGATTTTTATTAGCCCACGTGTCGTGCCATGGCTATTTTACGTGCCATGCACTAATTCGTCCATGTGTCGCATTTTTATTTGATCACGTGGCCTGCCTAGGTTCTACCACGTGCCCAACAATCCATTCATTATAAAAGTAATTTAAGATCATTAAACGGGCTAAACAGCTGTTTAAACGGCCGTTTAGGCGAACACGAGGTAAATCTAGTTCAGTTTTGTATGAATAAATTTGTATACTTAAATTTATTATATTTATAAATGTGTACACTTGATATGTTACATGCATAAATATCTATATTTTATTCTTTTCACATGCATAAATATATATACATACAAAAATAATTGATTTTTACTCGGATAAATATGTATAAATGTTAGAATACTTGATTTTTTACATGCACATATATAATTATATGTATTTTTTTTAAAGTACAAAACCGTTTAGACCGTTTAACTTCGTTTAAACAACGTGTAAACAACCTAAACGCTAAACGAAGGACGACCGTGTAAAGACCGTTTACCGTTTAGGAAAACATTGTCTCTAGGTCATGTTGACTTCACTCTCTTGGACTGCCTTCCTCTAGGACTGATATCAACGCTGCCTTTTGTCCTTCTAGCAGAGCCTCCTCTACGGCTTCTTTGAACCAGACGCTGAAATTAGAGAAACAAATTTAAGCAGGAAGCATGTACAAATTGCATCGCTATTTGCATCCCTGCCCCTCCCGCTCGAACTCAATACAAGGTAAAATAAGCACCTCAACTGCAAAGGCCACTAGCTCATCTTGTTAATCTGGTTCTTCCATCTTCCTATGATTCTTTCATCCCTGGTTCTTCCATCTTCCTATGATTCTTTGTGACTTTTGCCTCCCGCTCTCGATTAAAAGCATCTAGTGGTTATCAACATAACAGAGAGCAAGAGTATGCAAATAAGCGCCTAACTAATAACTACAGCTTATACGGAAGTCATTAATCCAATAAAGGACATGCCAGCTACACTCAACTATTGGAAATATACAACCACATC